GTGGGGAATTGTGAGCTTGGGTGGGACATGCAGGATGGGAACGCCACTCCAAGTTGACAATTTGCATCTGACACACTGTGGAGGTATCTTTTCCTACTGCCAAGTCCACTCCTCTCTCTGGGACTGTGAACAAGCGTACAGAGTCCCTCTGAGGACAGGAATGCTGGGACCACAGACACATCCTCAGGATGGCACGCCCAGACCCTCAGTCCTCCCCTGCTCCCAGGCAGTATCCCTGACCCAGAGCATCCAGATAGCACCAGCTACTAGAGATACCTACTCCTTACATGGAGACCAGAAGCGCTTCTTGTGACCCTTTTTTTTTTTTTTTTTTGCAGTTTTTGGCTGGGACTGGGTTTGAAACTGCCACCTCTGACATGTGGGGCCAGCGCCCTACTCCTTTGAGCCACAGGCATCACCCTCTTATGACCCTTTTGTGACTCCCAGCTCTGCTGTGAACCAGTCTGGGTACTCCTGAGATAGGCTCTTTGTCCCCTGCCCACTGGACCATGAATCTGAGCCTCTCAGCCAGTTCTGGGTCCAGAGGCCATGGCAGCTCAGGCCTCTAGTGGGCGGGGAAGCCATATGCTCAAGGGCTGAGGATTGGCATAGGGCATCTGTGTTTTGTCTGTGTTCTTCCCTTGGCCTCATCATACCTTTATGTTGGTTCATGCCTCTGAGCCTTGAAGAGAAGGGACTTCATGGTCTCTTATGCCTAGGGTGCAGAGGTGGGGAGATGGGGCTCAGGACATAGTGGATGAAAGGCAGGTGCCAGGTTCCCAGGTGGGCCAAGCCCAGTGCCAAGGGTTATGGCACCTGGAAGAGGAGGTACCTCTATGGTACTTCTGTGGCAGGTCCCCAGCCCTCTCCTTAGGCACAAAGTGGTCCACACCAGTAGGGACCTCTCCCCAGACCCACACACTGCATTCCACCCTGAGGAGGTTGTGGGGCCAGGGTGCCCCTGGCCCGGAAGCTGTGGTTTTGCGCACCACCGACTACAGTTCTCCTCCTGGTTTCCCAGAACAGTCTGGGCTCATGTCAGGCGACTCATTCCCTTACACAGTAGCTGTCAGCTTTGAAAACATCTCTTGCCACAGTCAAAAGAAGTGAAACTGTCCCATGAAACATAGTGGAACACCCCAAAACACCTAGGGGAGGATGGGGTCTTTCCTTGTTACAGCCTTCAGCAGAAATGGGGGTCTAGTCCCTGTTTCCTTCCTGTCTCTCATTTTTTTTTTTTTTTTTTTTTTGAGACAGAGCCTCAAGCTGTCCCCCTGGGTAGAATGCCGTGGCATTACAGCTCACAGCAACCTCCAACTCCTGGGCTCAAGCGAGTCTCTTGCCTCCGCCTCCCAAGTAGCTGGGACCACAGGCGCCCGCCACAACGCCCGGCTATTTTTTGGTTGCAGCCGTCATTGTTGTTTGGCGGGTCCGGGCTGGGGATTCAAACCCACCACCTTAGGTGTACGTGGCTGGCGCCTTAGCCGGTTGAGCTATAGGCGCCGAGCCCTGTCTCTCATTTTTGATCATGCCCTGTCCTGGGCCCAAGGCCCAGCCCTGCAGGGTAAACATGGACAGATGCTTCTAAGGCAGTGGTTCTCAACCTTCCTAATGCTGCAACCCTTTAATACAGTTCCTGTGGGTCGCACGCTACCGCTGTTCTAAGGTATTGCTAGGTTGAAAGCCACTGACCTATAGGCATGTGTGGAAGGTCAGGGGTCACATGCTTCCTGCATACACAGCCCTGAGCAAGGCATGTAGAGCCCTATAAGGTATACCTTGTCATTTTCCTCCATCAGTAGAGGGGAGAGCTGAGGCCTGATGATGCAGTTTGAGTGTGAGGCCACATGGATGGGAGGTGGTGGGGCTGGTGTCAGGCCCTGGCAATCTGAACTCCTACAGTACCCTCAGGAATCTCTGAAGATGTTTAGGGGTCCCAGTGGTTGGCAAGGATAGCCCCATAGAATGGGGACATGAACAGAGGTGTCTCTCTGGGCAGGATGTGGGGAGATGAAACTAGCAGTGGGCCCTGGGTAGGCTGCCTATGCAGGGAGTGAGGGGTAGGTGCACTTGTGCGCCCCAAGGGCTCCCAGGGCCCAAGCTTCTCCCTCTCCCCTCTTCCTGTCCCCTGGCTACTGTAGTGCCCTACCAGGTCCTTGTTGTCCCCACCTGTGTCCTAGAGCCCCGACTCCCCTGCTGTACACACCCCATCTGACAGCACAGCATGCCACCCTAGGGATCTTCATGGCATCTCTCAATGGCTCAGAGACTTGGCCAGGACAAGCAGGGTTGGGTGTGGTCTGGCAGGCACCAGCTACACTGACCAGTCCCATGGGCATGTAGGGGTACAGGCACAGCCCTGGCATGACACCTCGCTGTCCTGCCCTGCCTACCAGCCATCAGGAAGGGATAGACCAACCTGTGTTGTGGGGTGTACGTGCATATGAGCACGTATGATTGGACAGGTGGAATTTACTATGCCTGATGCTTTCAGAGATGTCATGCCTTGTGACAGGTGGCCTATAGAGGACAGGGCCCAAGTGAACTGTGGAAACCGCTATGAGGAGATCCCAGTGAGCCCTGGTTTTGATGGAGTGTGTGGCCCCAGGCAGCTCATCCTCTCAGAGCCTTCATATCAGATAGGGCCTGACAGCTGTTTTGTTTTACATAAATGTTATTTGTTCAGAAAGCACCGTTTACTGGTAAGGATGTGTGGTTGTCCCTCTTTTGCCCAGTGCCATACCCACCCACCACCCAGAAAGGCTCCGATAAGTCCTGCAATGATAAGTCCTGCTCAGCTAAACCAGCCAACTCCCGTGCTCAGCCAACCATGGGCCTCTCAGAGGTGCCTCTGGAGAATTTGTTTTGGGAAATGCTGGATGAGGTGACCTCTAGGATTCCTCCCTGGAAGGTCAAAACCCTGATGGAACAAAGGCTGGGGTTCCACACCCAGTTACCTGAAACAAAGGGCTTTTGGTGAGCTTGTCAGTGTCCCTAGAGCTGACCAGAGGCAGCATTAATCTGGAGTGGTATCTCAGCATTGTCACAGAGACACCAGTGTGCCATGGCCCTTCCTGTACACCCTGTGGTCAAGACAGATTGTCAGTGAGTAGGTTGGCCCAATGCATATGGTCCTGCAGGGGTGGAGGCCACTCCAGGGGTTCTGGAGTTGTTAGCCCATACCAATAGGGTGGGGATGGCCAGAGACAGCTTCCAGCAGAAGGTGCCCAGCCCTGGATCTGGTTAAGCAATGCCAGCAATTCACGCTCCAGGCCTAGTAAGCAGAATGAGAGGCCTTTGGGAGCCCAGTTCTAAGCGTGCTCTGGCTACCTCTGCCCCTGTAAATCCAAAGTACCCACTCCTCAGGAGCTTTCAGATTTCATACAAAGTTTATGTTAATAGGCCAGACTCAGTGGCTCATGCTAGCATTCTAGGAGGCCAACATTCACCGTGGGTCTCCACTTGATGGATTGCTTGAGCTCAGGAATTGGAGACCAGCCTGACCAAGAGTGAGACCCCATCTCTACTAAAAGCTGGGCTTTGTAGCAGGTGCCTGTAGTCCCAGCTACTAACTAGACAGGGTGAAGCAGGAGTTTGAGGTTGCTGTGAGCTATAATGCCATGGCACTCTACCCAGGGTGAGAGAGTGAGACTCTGTCTCAAAAATAAGTTTACGTTAATAAAACTGTTGAAGCCTTGTTTAAAGAGGGTTCTCCTGGTTGTTTATGACCATCTATCTGAGTAGCTGTCACTAGAAATCCTACTCTGTGCTTCCTGGTGTCCTGGTCCCTCACAGCTGGGCTTAGTGCCAGATCCATCACATCCTACCCTGTGAGTGCCCCAATCCCCAAGGTCCTCGAATAGCCCTACCTCTGCCCTCCTCCCCAGACATAGGCACTCTTATGGGTGAGGCCCAGTGGTTCATCCTACTCACCAATGTGGGGTCTTTCCATTCCATCCTCTCCAGTGTCTTCCTGAGTATATTTAGGAGGAGGGTTGGTAGTTGGTTTGGGGGTCAGTTTGGAGGATGTGTTTTGTCCCTGAGCTGCCTCCTTGCTGACTGGACCAGGTCTCCTCCCCTGGACAGAGGGACTCTGGAATTGTGTCCCCGGCCACATGAAGCCCCGCTCTGTGCTCCACACCCAGTGCACAGGTGGCAAGCCCAGGTCTGTGCTCAGGTGTCCAGTGCTGGAGTCAGTGGCCCCCACCATGTTCCCTGCTATATTTCAGAATTGTTTTTTATCACTACTGGAGTTTTTCACATCCCAGGTGCTCTGAGCTCTGTCATCACATCACACAAGGAAAGATGGCACTATGAGTGCTTGTTGTTGTCACTGTCACAGCAGGGATCAGACATGCCATTATGTGCCAACTGCCTCATGTACCAAACTCAGAACATCCAGGTGGGGTAGGGACAGGCTGTCCCTTCCCTGTCTCCCCTCTCTGGCCACCTGTACCCCTGCTTGTCAGTGTCAGCTGGTGCTGCCTTGATTAACAAACTGTCAAGGATTTTTTTTTTTTTCCCTAAGAAAGTAGACCCAAAACATTTAAGAAGGATGAAAGCAAAATTCCACATTCCTTTTCATGGGGACGTTTGGGGTAGGTACTTTCAGAATCCATGTCTTCTGAGCTGTGTGTTTCTCACACTGAGCCTCTGGACTCTGTGGTGACAGAGATAGGGCCCTATCCAGTAGAGGCCCACAGTGAGCTCATGAGTGCCCAGAGGCATAAAGAGGCAGAAAGCCAAACCCATGCTGTACCTCTGTACCTGCAGTTTGCTCCCACTCCAAGGGTAGTATGCGGTCTTAAGGTAGACTTGTGGCACTGCCAAGGTGACCTGGGCACCGTGTCTCGCTGCTGTGTCTAGCTTCCCTAGGAGGCTATAGTAGGCCTCCTGGCCACTCTGTCTTCCCCTGCTGGCAGTGGATTTGGCTGGAAAACATCTGAGGCCACCTCCTTCTCCTCTGGGTCTCATGTAGTCTCCCTTCTTCTGTCCTCCAGCTGGTCAGTGAGAAGGTTGGAGGGGCTGAAGGGACCAAGCTGGATGATGACTTCAAAGAGATGGAGAAGGTAAGAAGGGGGCCATGTGTTCTGTGTGACAGCACTGCTCAGCAGTGCCTCCTTGAGGCAGCTCTTCTACCCAGCCATAGCATCAGTGATGTGAGGGGGCCAGCAGGCACTGAGGGAGCTGTGATGGGTGGGGCCTCCCAGCCAGGGGAGAGACAGGTATCAGCCTCTGCCCTAGCCCTGGGCAAGCAGCATATCTGAACTAAGGACAGGGAGCTTGGGTGCCTCTCTGAAGCATGCAGAAGGGGTGAGAAGCTGAGGGACTTTGCATCCTGGTGTGACCTTCGGCATCCTGTAGACTGAAGCCACACATGCTGCTTCTCTTCACAGAAGGTGGATGTCACCAGCAAGGCCGTGACAGAAGTATTGGCCAGAACCATTGAGTACCTGCAGCCCAACCCAGGTAAGGGTGCCCGGGGGGCGGGGGGGGGGGGTTGCCCTGACTGCTATGGTTTCTGTGTCAGTCAGGAATATTCTGGTTACCAGAGCATGAAGAGGGAACATGTGGGCTAATAGAACTAGAATTCCCATGGGTAGGCAGACTTCAGGCATGCCTAGATGCAGGGACCTTTGGGCCCTTTCCATTTCAGGTGGCAACTCAGCTCCTTCTGTGATGCCTTTGCTCTTAGGCCAATTTATTCCTTGAGGTAATCCTAGCTTTAACTCACTCCTGTAGCAGAGAAGAACATCATTCCCCCAACTGACTCACCTGTCTTGAGCTGAGTTTCTACCCTTGGTGTGTGGGGCTGTGTCTCTTGGGTTGAGAGGGAGTAGGACTTCCCCTGAGGAAAACCCTAGTGCAGGTTCCTAGGCAGGAAACAATGGACATGGACTAGGCTTTAAACCAGCAGTGTCCACTCTCAGCCTATGCCTGGGACAGACCTGAGTGGGCAGGGAAAGGAACACAGCTCCTCACCCCCCTTGAGAGGGATGAGGTCCACAGTGAGTCACTGGACCTCCTGACACCTATGCACAGATACACATGTCTGTTGGACACCAGATGAGGGAGGGTGGCCTTGTTCTAGGGTAAAGAGCACTAGAGGGATGGCTCAGCAGTTTAGGAACAAGGAACCTCTGGAGACCTCCTTGCGAGACATGCTTGTGGAAGCATGGCCTGCCAGCAGGCATGGAATAAAAGGGTTACTGGGCCAAGGATACACTTTAGAAATACTCTGGTACAGGGTAGGGCAGGCAGCTTGGCAATGCCAGCAGAACACAGGCCTTGTCACCCCTCCAGCAGCAGCCATGCTCACCCTGCCCATCCTTTTCCAGCTTCACGGGCCAAGCTGACCATGCTTAACACTGTGTCCAAGATCCGGGGCCAGGTGAAAAGTCCTGGCTACCCACAGCCCGAGGGCCTCCTGGGCGAGTGCATGATCCGTCATGGCAAGGAGCTGGGTGGCGAGTCCAACTTCGGTGAGCAGGGTCAAATTCTCCCATGCCCCACTCCACTCCCTGAAGCCCACACCCCCATCCCCACAAGGACAAGGCAGGGCAGTGATACCACGTGAATCCAGGTCCAAGGCACTGTCTTGTGTTGCTGGTGTGGACCACATAGCCTTCCTGTCTGTGTGGTGGGGGAGCCCTGCACCAATGGATCATGACAAAGGAGGTGGACACAGGGAGAGGGCAGCAGGTGGGAAAGGGTCATGAGGGCCAATGGTGGATTGCACCCCTTCCTGCAGCTCCAGAATCTTCTCCAACATGGGCAGCTGGTTTCTCCTGAGCAAGGGCAACTGAGGCTCTAGAGAAAGCCACCTGTATCTCCCCAACATTATCAGGGGAAGACTTATCCTTCCCACCCCCTTCAGCCAATTCAGGGTCCCTCCTAACAGTATAGGGAGGGTAGCTTGTTTAACACCCAGCTTCACAATTTTGGTGTCTTTTGTATTACACTAAATTCCTGGGGAGGATCTCAGTCCCTGAGGCCAAGGCCTCCCATGATGGCTTCCCCCACCCCTTCTTGGCAGGAGATGCCCTGCTGGATGCCGGGGAGTCCATGAAGCGCCTGGCAGAGGTTAAGGACTCCTTGGACATAGAGGTCAAACAGAACTTCATCGACCCTCTGCAGAGCCTATGTGAGAAAGACCTGAAGGAGATCCAGGTACTGCCTGACTCTCCCTGACAGGGCAGGGCCCTTGGGGTCCCCTTTGACAGGGCAGGGTCACCAGTAGTGAAGGAGGAAGCTTCCAAATTCCTACTGGTGTGACCCACCCGGCCACCCTCAGCACCACCTGAAGAAGCTGGAGGGCCGCCGCCTGGACTTCGACTATAAGAAGAAGCGGCAGGGCCGCATCCCTGATGAAGAGCTACGTCAGGCCCTGGACAAGTTTGAGGAATCCAAGGAGGTGGCGGAGACTAGCATGCACAACCTCCTGGAGACTGACGTGCGTTGTCGGGCCCGGGTGGGCAGCAGGGGTGCTGGGCATCCCCTGCATGTGCAGGGCATTAAGGAAACGGTAGGCAGCAGTGACTGTCCACTGCTATAGGCAGGGTGGGGGCACAATGCGAATGTCATGGAGGGTGCGGGAGAGGCACAGCTGCAGCAGTCCCTCAGCCCTGACTGATCCCTGCAGATTGAGCAGGTGAGCCAGCTCTCAGCCCTGGTTGACGCCCAGCTGGATTATCATCGACAGGCTGTGCAGATCCTTGATGAGCTGGCTGACAAGCTTAAGCGCAGGTAAGCCCTGGCCCTGGGGGGCTCCACTGTGAAATCCAGACAGTCTCAGTGACCAGGGTCCTCCTTCCAGCATGGGATCCTGAGGCCACTGTGCACCTTCTGCAGAAGTGTGCAGCACCTCGCTTCTCCATGGCCAGCCCTATGTTTCTGCCCCAAGCTGCTTCTGTTGGGCTCAGGGCCCCAGGTGGGGCCTGATCTTAGTGGGCTTGTCCTGGCCCAAGGAGTGGGCTAGAGTAGCCTGAGGAGCAAGCATTCAGAGGCATTTCGGAGCTCAGGACCAACACTGAGCCTGAGAGTTTTGGCAGTTCTGCCCTAATTGCTGACCCCTGACGACTTCCTTGTCCCCTTCCTGGTCACACTTCTGGCACCCCCCCCAAGAACACAGTCTTACAGTCAGAGTCCAGAGCCTGCCATGTTGGGCACCTAATCTGGGCTGTTGAGGGAGTTTTGGGGTTTGTGCCACATGTTGGCAGGTATGTGCCTTAGGCAAAACTCAGGCACTCGGAAGTCTCAGGAGTACACAAGGTAGAGGGATCATGATGATCCAGCCATGGCCCAAGAGTCCTGGGTATTGCATCCCCTTGATGAGCCTTTCCCACAGGACCAGGCCAAGTCTTTGGGCAGCATCATAGACACAGGTCAGGGGCCTTGGCCTTGATACTCCAGTGCTTGGGGCTACTCATGGCTCTTCCTTCTCAGGATGCGAGAAGCTTCCTCACGCCCCAAGCGGGAATACAAACCTAAGCCTCGGGAATCCTTTGACCTTGGAGAGCCTGAGCAGTCCAATGGGGGCTTCCCCTGTGCCACAGCCCCCAAGATCACAGGTAATGGGATGTTTCCTGAAGGTGGAACACCAATGGAGTGGGGGATAGCCAAAGGTGGCATTGTCCAGGGTCTTTTGAGAGCCAGGCCCCTTGGGGCAGTCCCAGCCTGCCAACCCCTCCAGACATAGGGCCAGGCAGGGGAGGGCATTGGCCTCCACCCACTATACTCAGTGGGCCTTCACATTTTGTTTACAAGCAGCTTCATCATCTTTCCGATCTTCTGACAAGCCCATCCGGACCCCCAGCAGGACTATGCGTGAGTGTCCCCAGGGGCCCAGTCCTAGCCCTCACTCACTTAACTACACTAAGGCCAGCTTCAGTTTGCAGTGGTGGCTTCTAGTCTGTTCTGGAGAGGCCTTCCTCCTCCCTTCAATGTGGCAGGCCATCTGCCTTGGCAGCAGTGGGTGGCACAGGCATAAGCTCCACCCCTTGGGCCTGGCCTTGCTGCAAAAAAACAGGGGGCTGAGGGCATCTGTCCATTCTCAGCCTGGTGGCACTGGGCATCCCCTGGCACCTCCCCACCCCCAGCAGCTTTGGTGCCTACTCACAAAACCTCTTCCATACTCCTCCTTCCTGACAACCCTAGATTGCAGTAGGGGTAGAAGCTGCAAATTGGTACAACCACAGGGTGGCCCTCACCCCACAATGTGGTCTAGGGGCCACAGCAAGTGTAAACTGAGGTCAAGTTCAGATGTGCCCTGTGACAGATGTGCCCTTCATATCCTCCCAGCCCCCCTGGACCAGCCAAGCTGCAAGGCACTGTATGACTTCGAGCCAGAGAATGATGGGGAGCTAGGCTTTCGTGAGGGTGATGTCATCACGCTGACCAACCAGATCGACGAGAACTGGTACGAGGGAATGCTGGACGGCCAGTCAGGCTTCTTCCCCCTCAGCTATGTGGAGGTGCTGGTGCCCCTGCCTCAGTGACCTGCCAGCATTCCTGCCCCAGCTGTTGACCATCTGGCCTCCTGCATTCCACTTGGTTGGGCCCTGTGGCCGGGGCAGCATCTGAGCCTGGAGGGGCTACCCAGCCCCTGGGTACTTCCTGAGCAGGGCCCCAGCATCTGGGTGGGGCCCATTTACACCAGTGTTCACTCTATTTGCTGGGGTGGTGGCTCCTTCCCTACTCTGTGGGGGTGAGTGGCCTCCTTCCTGCTCACACTAAGGTGCTCTCAGAAACACTAATAGTCCTCCAGGGTGGACCCCTCCCCCACCTCCGTCCTGACTGCCCTGGGGCCTACCCTGCAGGCTTGCCCTCAGGTGTCTATGGCCTAACCCCTGGCTGAGATTCCCCAGCCTGTTTTTCCAATGTTTCCCAGCCCGTTGCTGGCAATGGGCCTCGGCCCCCACTCCAGGGTTCTCTAGGCCTTGTGGGGCCCAGGCTAACCCCCAGCCTTGCACATTTGCTATGTCCCCCTCAAAGTGAGGGGGAAGGGCCTCACCACTCCCTGGCCTGCTCTTAGTTTGCAGGTGGGGATAGAGGCCAACAAGGTCCCCAGGGCCTACCCTGCCCAAGGACATGTCTTCCCCCAGTGGCCTCAGTTTCTCTCCTATCCCCACAAAGCCAAGTGTCTTTCCAGCTTTTTAATTGCCCCCAGCAGAGCACGCAGAGGTGTGTTTCACGCTCTGGCACAAGCTGCCACCACCAGCTGCACCCACATTCCTCCAACACACCTCATATAGGACCATGCCCCCCCCCAGCCCCTCCCACCACACATACCTTAGGTCAAGCACAAAGGCTCTGATGACAGAATGTTCTAGACTTCTGGCTGCTGGGCCCTTCCTAAGCCTGTGCCATCCCCAGTATCTCCTCTAGGCCAAGCCAGGCAGTCTTGGATTCCCAAGACTGCCTGCCCCAGCATCTACTTCCCCTGTGGCCTCACCTGAAAATTGGCTGAATAAACTGGGTGGGGGAAGACTTTTGGGGCTGGCCACACTCACATTCCTCTGAGTCCCCATTCTCACTATGCCTTGGCCAAGATGAGCAGTACAGTCTTGGCCAGGGTCTAGGGTAAATCAAAATGTACATGTACTCAATTTTTTTTAAAAAAAGTATTAAATGTCTCTTTCTACAGCCCTGACCTTGTCTCAATGCAGGGTGTGTACCCATGTACCCACAGCCTTCCCCAGGGGTTACCCCAGTAAAGCCTGGGCACCAGTAGGATCCCTGCCCTGTCTGCACATGCACCCTTCCCAGGTTCTCCCCATGGGTGCTGCACAGCCCAAGGGTATAGGGCTAGCTTGGGGCCACTCAATTGTTTTTGGTACTGGGACTAAAGGTCAGGCCCAAGGGAGCAGCTGGACAGGAGGTCCCTATGCCTGCAGGGCAAATGCCCTGCCACAGAAGCAAGGGAGCAAGAATGACCTTCACCCCACCCAGGGAGACAACCTTGCCAGCTGGTTGCTGCTTTTGTTCCTTTATTATCTGAGCTTGAACCTCTACTAAATCACTCAGAGACAGTAACAGATGAAGCCTTGGAGCTACTGGGGGCCAGGGGAAGGCAGGCCCTCAGCTCCCTTGCTTGAGAGCCCCATAAACCTGCTCCAGTGCATGGCACAGACCCTGGTCCTTGGGCATCCTGCTGGTCAAGGAGATCTGAAACAATCAAGGGCAGGCGCCTTAGGACTGTGCCCTAAGGTCCTGCCCTTCAGAGGCCACTGTCCACACATAGCAGCCTGACAAAGCAAGGTCTGCCCAAGCCAAGGTAGAGGGTGGTGTGCCTAAAACACAGCTTACTTTCCATCAAGGGGACACTGCATAACTGGAGGACTAGCTGGCTTATTTTAGAATGTCAGGTGCTGTATTGGGGGGTATGTAGTTTATCTGCACATTCCAGATGCTGCTCTGGCCATCTCCCTGCCTGGGTTTCAGTCACTCATGGACATTGGGGCTTCATCAATCAGCAGTCACCAGTCCCATAAAAGTCTAAACAGAGTGAGCCATGTAAGAAGGTGTTTCCATGCAGTGGAGTAAAGCATCAATATAAAGAAGACATAACTCAGAAAGTGGCTGAGCCCTTAGGCACAGGTCCCCCAGTTTTGAGGCCAGCGAGCTACAAAGAAGCCAAGTCACAAGGCCAGCTTTTCCCTTTGACTTTGTATAGCCTTGCCAAGGAATTAGGCTCCAACGTGAAATCAGATCCCAGCCTGCACCTCCTGCTGCCAGGGGGTGAGATGGAGTCGGGTCATCATAGTCACTGTGTCTCAGGCTGCATGGGTGTACTGGGGCCCCTCAGAACACAAATCTCACCTTGAGCTTGTCCAGGTAGGTGTGCTCCTGGTCCCAGGGCTCCTGGAACCTCACCAGGTCAGGGGCACCCTTGTAGAATTCCACCAGTAGCATCTGCAGGACAGGGGCAGATGATTCCCTGGCTTCCTCCCTCCTCACCCACAGTGTTCAGGCCTGAAAGGGTTTCGAGGCTCATGCAGCAAGGACATGTGACCCAAGTTACCAGTAAGTCAACCACACAGGAGATATCAGAAGTGAACTCAGGAGGAGGGCTTCCTGGAGGGAGAGGCAGCAGCATTGTCCAGGGTAGCCCACTGAGCCACACACTCAATGGAAAAAGTTCTCTGACAGGTCTGAACAGGGTCCCAAGTTTAGCCTCATCCTGATTAACAACACCTACAAGGTTACAGGTTCAGTGAACTAGCTTTTTAAGTGGACACTGAACACAGCTATTGAAAGTACACTAGAGGGCAGCACCTGTGGCTCGGTAGGTAGGGCGCTGGCCCTATATACTTACGGTGGCGGGTTCAAACCCAGCCCCAGCCAAACTGCAACAAAAAATAGGCATTGTGGCAGGGCCTGTAGTCCCAGCTACTCGGGAGGCTGAGGCAAGAGAATTGCCTAAGCCCAGGAGTTGGAGGTTGCTGTGAGCTATGACATCACAGCACTCCACCAAGGGCAATAAAGTGAGACTCTCGTCTCTTAAAAAAAGGAAAGTACACTAGAACCTCCACAGCTGACCACCTCAAGTTGACCTCATTTTCATAGACCGGACATGCACCACCTGTATATGTCAGTACAGTGGGCCTAGTTCCTTATGTTGACCACTTCCACATATTGACCAGTTAGTTACAGTCCCTTGGGTGGCCAACTTACAGAGATTCTGCTGTATGTTCATTTAGGTATCACCTGGATGGGTAGATGGGGGCTCTAGAGTGAGGGAAGAGAAGCTTAACACAGGCTGGCTGCCCTAGCCTTGCCTATCCCACCAGGAGTGAGCTCACCATCTCATGCATGATGTCGTTGGTCAGGAAGCTGTCCTGGACGTAGCCCATCTCCACATCCATGGGGATGCCATAGTCACTTGGCCTTTGCTGACAGGAACACAAGCTGGTCAGAGAGGCCTCCCCAACATCCAGGTCCCCAGGCCATGATGAAGGGAATGAGGGAGGCACCCTAGTCTGGGAATCAGAATCCACATCCCATGGGGCTCTGCGCTGGGATCAGTGGTTTAGGGTGACATGGGACCACTAGTAGAACCCAGCAGTGTAGCAGGGGTGACCTTTCCAACAGGAGAGGCCAGAAGAAGCCAGGGCCTTGAGATTTTTTTCCAAAGCGACCTCTGACCCCATGGCTGACATGGGTTGAAAACAGGTTCCAGAAGGAAGCCATCCTGGTAATAGAACAAGCTACATAGAGGCTCTGCACCCAGGCCCTCAATGAAGCCTCAGAACAATAGCTGTGGTCCCATTTCACAGATGGGAGCAACTGAGGTCCCACAGAACCTGGAACCAGAGTCCCTCCTGCCTTGGCACCCTTTACCCCTAGCCTCCCCCAAGCAGCCCCACCTACCTCAGGAGGAGGCATCACCCAGAAGGGTGCAATCTTGGACTCAGGGCCTGGGTTGCCAGAGTAGTAAGGGGCTGGCGGAGGAGAGGAAGAAAGAGTCCTGGGCCTATGGGGCTCTGCTGCCCAGCTCCCACCCCCACAGCCCCATGCGCAAGTGGGTCTCACAGCAGAGCAGGGCCAGGCAGGGCTGGAAGCCATTGCTGGAGCCCTGCAGCCGCAGCTGGTAGTCCATCTGGGTGTCTATGTCTTGTAGCGAGGGCAGTGCCGGGCTGTGTGGGTGGCTGTGGTACCAGCCCACCAGGGACAGGCCACGCAGGAACAGGCTCTGGTAAATCTGGGGACAGAGATGTGGCTGGGGGTGGGGGGCCTGACCAGCCTAGTGAACTGGCACCAACCCGTAGAGTACCTGCTATGTACCTGGGGATCCTGCCCCACTGTCACCAAGTCCAGGGCAAGGTGGAGGAACAACCCACAAATAAATCTATAAAAAAGATGCATGTGCCACTAAGCAAGGAGGGCAAGAAAATGATTTTTTTTTTTTTTTGGAGACAGAGCCTCAAGCTGTCACCCTGGGTAGAGTGCTGTGGCATCACAGCTCCTAGCAACCTCCAACTCCTGGACTCAAGCTAGTCTCCTGCCTCTGCCTCCCAAGTAGCTGGGACTACAGGCGCCCGCCACAACGCCCGGCTATTTTTTGGTTGCAGCCGTCATTGTTTGGCGGGCCCAGGCTGGATTCCAACCTGCCAGCTCAGGTGTATGTGGCTGGTGCCTTAGTCGCTTAAGCCACAGGTGCCGAGCCAAGAAAATAATTTTGTTCACTGCATGGGCTGACACGCAGTAGGCGCTTGTCAGTAGTGGGACTTTTGCATATGTGAGCAGGAGGGGACATTCCTGTATTTCCTGAACAAGTAGAAGCAAAAGGAAATGGAGAGGTAGACACAGATTACTGAATTAACACTCACTTACCTGCCCCCAACAACACTGTAACAATGCTGAGCACAGTGCCAGACATATGCTAAGTACCATTATAAAAACATGAATAACAATGGCAGCTGGCATTTATGAGCCTTTTTTAAGTGCCAGGCATGGTGCAGAGCTTCATTTAAGCCTCAAATTTTACCCATGAGGAATTGGAGGCTCTGAGGGGAAGGGCTGGCAAGGTTTACAAGGAGTGAGTCCAGGACTCAGTGACCCAAAATCAGTGCCCTTAAACCTGGAGTCCCAGGCACAGGGACAGGTACTCACATCTACCTGTATACTTGCAGGGTACTGACACTATGCTAGCCCCCAGGGGCAACACAGCTGTCCCCTCAGTAAATGGCATAGAGGAATAGCTGTGTTCCTCCCCATCCTTCCCCAGAAAGACACCTCTTTGGCAACTCCTTACCTCCTCCTCAATGACAGCTGCAGTGTCGGTGTCCCCAAGCCGGCTACGACAGGGGAAGGCTCGCAACACAGTGAGCACTGTGAGGAAGAAGTGGCCATGGGCTCTGACCCCAAACACCTCCCTGCCAACCCAGCCCAGATACCCACTCTGGCTGTTGGTGTCCCAGCGGCCCCCCAGGTAACCCACGACCTCGCTCCGAGTCAGGTGGCTGTGGAAGTCCTGAGAAGGGGAGGGATGGTGGGAGACTGGCTCAGGCTGAGGCCTCTGCCCCAATGCAAGGGCTGGCCCACCCCCACCCTTTGAACATTTATTGAGTACCTGTGGTTTATCAATAACAAACAAAGCAGACAAGGTCCCCACTCTTATGAAGCTGATATTCTGGGGACCCGCTCCCTCCCAGGTGCTCCCTGCCCCTGGACAAGGTGGGGCTTAGCCACACACCAGCAGGAATAGCACATTGCTGGAAACTGCCACATTGAATGGCTGGAACTTGTTGACTGCTGCAAAGGATGTTACTTCCACCAGGGTGTGAGGGTTCCTGCAGGAGCCAAGAGGGTCCCATAGCCTCAGGACTGCTGTAGGCCTGGTTCCCTAGACCCTGACAAGCATTCTAGACATGCTGGGGCAGGGGGCTCAAGGTGTATCTGACCTGGCAGAGTCACGACTCCCCAACATGCAGTAGCGGACTGGCACCCGTACTTTGTTCTCCACCCGCTTCCCAGAAGGCATGGCCTCTGTGGGGGGTGTAAGAGAGAAAAAGAGGTAGAGTCAGTCCATCCCCAGCCAAAACTGGAAGACGAGGCAGAGGCAGCCTAAAAATCAAGCAGCAAGTGAACAAATCAGACAGACAAGATTGAAAAAAAAGGTTAGATGAGGAACTCAGGAAACCATGTAGTGGGCCAACAAAATCAGACAGCAGAGCTAGGAAATCAAGAGGGTACTTTAAGAAATCAGGCAACAGGGCAAAGAAATCCTGTGGAGAATCAAGAAATCAGGCAGCACAAAAAATAGAGGCATGAGACCAAGAAATCCAGCATTTGAGCTTAAGAAATTAGGCATTGAGTTGTTTTTTTTTTTTTTTT